CCGGCAAATCGCACTCTCGCCTGCATTTCGCGCACTCGACACGCACGGTCTCCGCAGAGGGTTGCACTTTCGGTTGACGCTGTTCGTCCCGCACTCCGCCTTTAAGAGAGAATTTATAAAGTGGGGAAATGTTTTTTCATTAGGACATCTCCCGTGCTAGTTTTCCATACTCACACTTGCCTACTCATTGCATGCTTGCATAGTCATTGCATGCTTGCATACTCACCCTTGCATATCATTGCATACTCACCCTTGCATATCACGCTTGCATACTTACACTTGCATACTTTGACGCTGGCATACTTCGCACTTGGATGCTTTCGCTCTTCCATTGTGTGTGTGTAAGTGTGGAAGTGTCAGTGTGTAAGTGTAAGTGTCGAAGTGTCAGTGTTCAAGGGATTTTCCGGAAAAACCCTTCGCAATGCTTTCGGGAAAAAATAGGAAAATGTGCATTGAAAAAGAAAGAGGCGATATATTGTTCCTAGCAGAAAGGAGTACTTATGTTCAAGGCCAGTTGCAAGGGAAGCATGGCAATGTTTAGTTTCCCCAACAATCTAGGAACCAAATCATTAGTGCGAGCGCTATCCTGAGTCCAGTTACTAGGCGCCTACTCAAATATGTAGGGAGGCGGGGCCTAGCGAGCTTTTGAAACACATTTCGTTGGACTTTCTTGTGAATTCTTCCCTTTTTCGTCAAAAGAAATAGTGAAGTGGTAGCAAGTCCATTTGGTGTACCGTGGTAGCCTGGGCACGCACATCCCTCTTGCAAAGTTGAGTTTTTGGCTCTGCTCCCTTGAAGCTGTTGAAATGGAGTGGGCCTCAGCCAGATGGGAGAAAGCGGCGAAAGGTAACAAGATAATTTGTTGAAGCAGTCCTCTCTGTTCATCAGTGACAACAGAAGCTACTAGTAACAAGTGCATCGCTACTAGTAACAAGGGCATTACTACTAGTAACAAGTGCATCGCTACTAGTAGCAAGGTGCCTCCTTTGTTGTCTTTCTGCATGTTCTTGTCGTCCAAACTCCAAGGCCGAGGTGCCCCGGCGGAAGGGCCCCAAGGGCCTCCATGCACCTTGGCTTTGAACCGAGTCGTCCAGGCCTTCGCCATGGCTTTTTAGGCAGAATCAAAGCGTGTGCGTTCAATGAGTGCAATGAGTGCAATGTAGCTTCTTGCTACTAGTAGTAATGCCCTTGTTCCTAGTAGCGAACATTGTTACTAGTAAGGCACTTGTTACTACTGCACTTGTTACTACTAGTAAGGCACTTGTTACTACTAGCGATGCACTTGTTACTACTAGTAAGGCACTTGTTACTACTAGCGATGCACTTGTTACTACTAGTAAGGCACTTGTTACTACTAGCGATGCACTTGTTACTACTAGTAAGGCACTTGCTACTAGTAATGCCCTTGTTACTAGTAGCGATGCCAAAAAATCCTGCTATTTTTGGTCTCTGACTTGAAAGTAGACAGGAAGCGGGAATGTATTTCAGGAGAGTTGCTTGGACTATTTTGCACACTTTGATGATTTTGGTGCAAAAGTGTTGGATTTTGTGAAGTGTTCATTTACACCCCACATATCTAAAAGATGTGATGTTATTGTCATTGTCTCAGTTTGGAGACATGTTTCCTTTTTTTGACATGCATTTAGGTGGAGGCCATCGCTTGTAGGTTGGAGGCCATGCTATTCGTTTGCAAGTAATGTCAACAAGTCACTTCGAGACGACGACAAACTCAGGTCGTCGCAGCCATCGTGGCGCTGTCCGTCTTCTCCTTTTCGATCTCATGTAGGCGATATCTTAATCAAAGAGCTGTAAAAGGAAACAAAAGAAAACAGAAACGATGTAGAAAGACAGGGGCAGGCCGCGGATAGAAGAGGTAGCTTAAGTACGGAAGTAAAGATAGAGAAAGACAAACTAGCAGCAAATAGCTTGAAAAAAGGAGCTACTACGCAATAGCTTGTTATTTTGTCGTCTTGTCTTGCTATTTGTTAAGGCTACTAGTCTTCACCTGTTGATTGCTATTGGTCTTGATGGCGTACAGATGTCCATACTAAGAGCTGTCTTTACGTTTTCTCAATGTTCATTCTGCTTTACGTATTCTCTTGCTCTTTACGTAAAGAGTATTGAAAAAGCAAAATTATTCTTAGTTAATATTATGATTGTTATCTTTTAATATCAAGTAATATGTTCAAGTAAATAATAAAAGTATCTTATTGTCAATGAATGTGTTCTGTTTTTTGAGTGTCTTTTATTTTTTTAGAAAGTCATTCGTTGTTCCTTCTCTTTTGTCCTAATTGCCCTTGTGGACGCACCCTTTGCTCGCAGGTCAGCGCTCGCAGTCGGCAAGGCGAGCGTGTTATTGTCTTTTTTATTGGCCCGCTCCCCCGAGCTCCCCCGGGCGCCCGAGTATGGACGCAGGACAGCTCACACACTAATCATTTGGCTCCTAGATTTTGAAGGACACTTAACAAACACCAGAAAAGCTTCCAGAACTCTTTCTGAGTTTCACCGGAAGATGCTATGAATGCATGCTCACAGGCAGATGTTAGAACCTTGAAGGACATTATCATATGACAGAAGGTTTTCATGATTACAACTGACCCAATGGCAGAACTACGAGCTCAATCACTGGAGGGTCACCGAAGACAGGATGTTTTCTCAAAGGCTTTGTACGTTTAGACGACACAATTTGTCTGATTTTATGTAGACAGTAGACCTTTTCGGTTTTCCTTTTTTTGCTTTAGGTTGGAGGCCATCGCTCCTAGGTGAAGGCCATCACTACTAGGTGGAGGCCATCGCTTGTAGGTGGGAGGCCGTTGCCAGTAGGTTGGAGGCCATTGCTAGTAGGTTGGAGGCCGTCGCTAGTAGGTTCCTTTTGCTATTAGGGGAGGCTTTTCTGCCGGCCTTCATCTAAGGCCGCGAGCGTAGCCTTGCATACGGTCCTTCCGCAGCCCGAGTTACTCGGGTGTCTTGTATGAAGGGACCGGATGAAAGGCCAAATGGACGAAGAGAGGACAAACAAGACAAGCGTTGGAGGCCATTGCTGTAAGGTGGAGGCCATCACTATCAGGTTGGAGGACAAAGAAGAAAAGAGATCCAAAACGACAAATGCTCCAAGGGTGGAGGAAAATCAAAAGAGTTGCAGAGGGATGCATTTGAGGGCCTTCCGTGCAAAGCTGTGGAGACAAGCTATCAAGAATCAAGAGGCAATAAAGGTTCGGTGCAGAATTCCTGAGACCCTAACCGAGGAAGTCTACTCACGCTTGATTGCCCATCTCATTTCATGTTCCTTCTTGGACAGACACATTTGCCTTTTTGTGGCCTCATCCACAGGAAGCCACATTTGATTGGTTTCTATGCGGAGCAGTCGATGGAGGTGTCAAGGGGCCAGTATGTTCAGGATCGTAGTACAGGTTGAATAATCGCTTCAAGAAAAATGGAACGCAGAGCAAACGGACAACGTTCTAACATTGGGTTTTTTTGCTGCCTTCATCTGCCTTCCCTTACTCGAAGAAGAAAGCTCCGTCAGCTACTCCCTGCAAGGTGTGGATCGGAATGGTTTAGAAAATGAAAGCTCAGGAAAATGGTTTAGAAATCCTGATGTAAAACTGCCAAGTTTGGGCGATGTGAAAGATGTGAAAAGACCGAAGGATCTCAGGCCTTGGGGGCTGTGGGAAAATCCTCGAGGCCAAGCGCATGAGATACCTTGGAGGCTTGCTGGAGAAGGCAGGCGACGGGGCCGGTGGTGCCGGTGCCTTCCACGGCCCAAAGTGAAGAGCTCAAGGAGTTCGCCGCCAACCTAAGAGTGATGGCCTCCAAAGATGATTGTTGCTACAGACTGCGCTTCTCTTTCACAGTTTATCAAAGACAAGCAGCATGGTTCTACATGGGCCACACTGGTTCAAAGATGCCTGGCATTCCAGTTGGTTCGTGTCAAAGTGGCAAGAATGGTCAACAGTCCAGATTGACTTCCGGATTGGTTTCCCTTTTCACGAAGTCCGGCCTTTAGTCCAAATTATCCCAGCTAAGCTGGAATTCGACAGGAGATCCCCGGCACCAAGATCGTGTGGCTGGAGGTGGAGACATCGCTGCTTTGCGCAAGTCGGGCGCCGACAGATGTCACTTCACAGCCCTTACAGCTGCCACAATTACATTCTTGAGCGAAAAATACGGTTTTAGAAGAGCTTCTTGGACGATTTGGGCTGGAGAATTGTCTTGACATAGCCTCAGAACCAGAGAGGAAAAGAATCCGAAGCCTTGCCAGGCCTGGGACAATCCCTTGAACGAGCGTTTGCGAGCGACCATTGACCTCAGGATCGGCGTCATGAGCATCACACTCCAGAGCAGCACACACCCAGCGTCCTTGCTCCTAGTAGTATGGCCAGGAGCCCCTCCAATACCTCCAGCGTCCCTGCCAGTTGAGTTTAACTGATTTGACCATGTAGGAGCAGAGTGGCAGCAAGTCTGCTGGAGTCGACATCAGAATTGACTATTCGAGATGATTGTTCATTCCGCTTGGCAAACCCCCATGACCTCCACAAACCGCTCATGCTGAAAGCAGAGAACTATGAGGTACTTCAGCACATTCGCGCAGGAATCAGTGCGGGGGAGTCCCTTATCTCTTCAATCGCAAGACTGGCAAGGCAAGACTGGGGTTCTTTCGAAGAAATGGACCGCGTCGCTTGCGCGCGGGGGGCGGGGGTAGGCAGCTAGAGGTAGGTAGCAGCTAGAGGTAGGTAGCTAGTAGGGAGAGGTAGCTAGTACCTACAAGTAGCTACTACCGACAGGACGCAGGATAGCTCACGCTTCTTCCAGGAAGCTCCCCCCCGCCACGTTTAGGGCAGCGGGGGGAGCTTCCTGGAAGAAGCGCTCGCACTAATGACTGGGTTCCAGATTTTTAGGGAAACTTAACTAGTAACAAGAAGCTACTAGGGGCTCCTGGCCATACTACTAGTAACAAAAAGCTACGAACGGGGCCTTCAGTCTGTCTTGGTGCAGTCTGTGAAGAGATGCTGTTTTTCCCTCGCCCAAAACATCGATCCTTGACGATAAAAGGGACTTGCAACTGGTAACACTAAGGAGTTGTGCAACTGAAGCACAGAGCCAGGAGTTATGTTGAAAGTAGCTTCTGATTACTACTAGTAAGGCACTTGTTACTAGAAGCGATGCACTTGTTCCTAGTAGCTTATTGTGTCTAATCAAGATTGTTTATTCGGCAAAACAGGGAGTGAAATTCTGTCAAGCTTGTGCTGCACCTTTGAAGAGCCCAGCGTCCCCTCACAAACCGATCAAAGTATGCAGGTCTTGTGTGGTGTTGTGGCCTATGACAAGCTTAGGGCTTGGGCCCAGGCCAGATCTTGTGGAAGTCCGGAAAGAAAGAGGAAGAGCGAAAACAGAGTTCCAAGGACGAATAGAGAAAGAGGAGGTATGATGATCTACAGAAAAGCCTGTTGGCTGTTTGGGCTGAGGTGATCCAGTCATCACCTGAATAGAAAATTTAAGATATCTCTAGGGTCGACTCAGAGGTGCTATGAGCCAGGACGCTACGAACGGGGCTCCTGGCATCGCTACAAGTAACAAGAAGCTACTAGGGGCTCCTGGCCGTACTACTAGGAGCAAGTCCTGCCCTAAATATATTGACCCGGCAAAGAATCGACGTAAGCGGGCTTCTTCAAGGAAGTGTTTACCTTGGTTCTGCAGCAAAGTGCACTTGAAGCACTTCAAGTGCATTGATTTGAAAGGATATCATTGAAATGGAGACCATAAAACATTGATTCTCAAGAGCTCCATGAATTCAATATGTGAAAAAGGAATGACGAGGTCATTAATTACTCCCAAATGAAAGGTCGATCAACAAACAAAAGAATAGTAAAGTAATATTCTGATGTTAAATTCTTGAGTGTTTCTTTTTCGCAGTCCTTTTCTCTCGCCAGGGCTTGGGCGGTGATGCACGCATCTACCGGGACATTGGCCAGTGAACTCCGTGAACCAGGGCTGCGCAGAAGTTAAGTCGCCATGAAAAAGTGTCAAACAGACTTAGTCAAACCAAGTTTCAAGAACAAAAAGGCATCGCTACGAACGGAGCGATTGGACGCTACGTTCGGGGCTCCTGGCCTTACTACTAGGAGCAAGGACGCAGAGTTTCCAGCGAGTTGTCGAAGAGTTTCGCACTCAACGCAATGTTGTTTACTTTGCCAAGCCAAAATCTTCTGGCGCCGCAAAGCGACAGCCTGGGGCCGCTTAGGGAAGGTTCAGAGAGCGCAAAGGGGCCTTTCAAGGCCTTCCAAGGCCTTAGCTTTATCACTGAAAGAAAGACAAGAAAAAATAGGTCCAAAAGATAAGAAATGTGTGCTAACCTAATAGCAATGGCCTCCAACCTACTAGCGATGGCCTCCAACCTAATAGCAATGACCTCTAGGACTATTTCAGTTTTACTTTATGGTCGTTACAGGTTTGCTTTCAAGACATTCAAAAAAGAGCTGAGAGCAGCATCCAAGATTCGCACGCCCACTGTCCGGTGGTCGTTGGTTTTGGTGCCGAAGGCCCGACGAAATTCGTCAGGCTGACGGGGTGCAGTTAGAGAAGTGATCTCAGGAGGGCGGAAAAAGGATCCAGATAGAGTGTCCGGTGGACAAGACCTTAGAATCATTAGCTCAAAGCTAAAAAAGATCCGCTTTCTTTCCTTGGCACAAAAGGGCTGTGGTAAAGCGCGGTCAAGTTCAAGACCTATTCACATCGAAAACATCAAGTCAGTGTGCTCGTCCTTTCTGTTCTCCCCTCCTGGGCGCGTGACCAGGATTCTAGGAAAGCGAGCCACTTTCTCGAAACAAACCACTGACTCAAGCCCTTCAAGACGTTAGGTTTCAGGGCCTCAAACTGTCATGACACAGGCCATCAAAAGTGTGGCCACCTCACGCTAAACAAGGAAAACAGGTCACGGTGAATCTCACCCAAGTTCGACTGCACCTGACCATCCAAATCAAATGAAGTTGTCTATAAACACCACGGCCTCTCAGACAGCCACCCTCTTCCGCCATCATCTCAAACCACTACGACATTGAGTAGAAGAGGCTGACACCACGCCAGTTCGACTTGAGGTGGCACATAGCCCGGCTTCCTCGCCGGTTGTCTACGCTGGCGAAGATCTGGCCATTCTCCAACCCAAGGTGACCACACCTGCAGTGATGCCATCCGAAGATGGTAGAGCAGCAACCTCCGTGTCGTACAGCGTCTTCCTCCAACACTCATGTTTCACCATCAGCACTGTGAGCATGCCCTGCTGGATCTGAGCCCTTCGGAACGAAGTCTCTCAGATCTCGGGACTTCCGAGTGAACTGGGTCGTCTCACTTCTCCAGGAACACCCCGTTGAGTAGTGCCACGCTAGTAGTAACAGGTGCCTTACTAGTAGTAACAAAAAGCCATTAGGAACAAGTGCCACGCTAGTAGTAACAAGTGCCTTAGGTCCAGCCGGCAGATCACTCTCTGAGGGTTCTTCCCGTTGAGCCGTCGCACGCCTCAATGACACTCCCGTGACCTCAAAGCCAGCCTCGCCCCGACGCTGAAGCAATCCCCTCAGCAGGCGCACGCCTCACAGACATTCCGGTGCTCCCAAAACCAGCTTCGCCCCTGTAGTAGATGATAGAGTCGTTGAGGCCACCATTTCTTCTCCAGCATCAGTTGGCCGATTCGGTCACCAGAGTTGACAAGGAGCACCTCCGATCCATGATTGACCAGGATGGCCTTCACCTCACCCCGATAGTCAGCATCCACAACACCTCCTGCAACATCGACTCCCTTCATCGCCAGAGAGCTCCGGGGTGCAATCCGCCCATAACAACCAGGAGGAAGTTCAAAAGCTAGGCCAAGTGGAATGAGAGTTCCCCAGGTTGGATCTCCAGGTCTACTGCTGACGCTAGATCCCAGCCCGCTGCATTTGGAGTGCCCTTGGTGGGAAGTGAGGCATGATCGCTGATGATCTTGACCTTCAAGGTGTCCCCCCCCTTGAACAGCAACTTCTTGGCATAATGCCACCCCACATCCATCACCACATGAAGAAAGCACACCAAGCCGGCCAGAAAAACCAACCAGCCTTGATCAGCCCATGAGCCTGTACTGGAAGACCCCTGAGCGTCACCCGAAGCTTCACATTCATCAGCAGCACACGCTTCCGCCGCCTGCGCCCCATTCAAAGACGCACCCGCCCTCCAACTTCCGGCGGGCGAGTGTACCTGTCTTGGTCATCTCCTCGAAGTGGAGGTCATAGACGAAGGCAGCGCCATCGCCCGAGCGGCTGGCCTCCAAACGGCTGAACTCATGAGCCCGTCTCTGACCGTGACAAAGCCGCCGTTGAAGTTCCTCAACTGACAAAGCCGATAACACAGTCTTCTCCGTCACCCTCCGACAAGGGACAGCAGAATGGCCAGGATATGAGCAGGCTCCGGTCTCTCCTCCACATCAGCCAGACCCCCCCACTTGTGAGGCTCATGTCCGAATCTGTCTCACAACTCCTGGCTTTTTCCTCCCTCACGTTCTCGGTGACAAGGTTCTGGATCATCACTCGAAAAGCTTCTGGACCTTCCCTTAGCGGGCTGACACCTGAAGGTTCTGCTGCCATCAGCTCCAGCGACTCCTTCCATCTGACCAAAAAGACCCTGATGCCCCCGCTTTCGGGGGTCCTTTCGCTTGCTTCCTCGCTCATAACACAACAATAAAGGCTCGAAACCCAAAAGGGCTGTGGTAAAGCACGGTCAAGTTCAAGACCTATCCACATCGAAAACATCAAGTGTGCTCGTGTTTTCTGCTATTAGGACTTGATCAGCATAGTTGTAAACATCAAGCCTAGTACAAGTATGCAGCCTCTGAAACCCAACTGTTCAAAAGATGCATACGCGTAGAGACCTTGTTGCTTTTAGTAGCAATAGCTATAGTGACGTACACAACAAGGTTACCAGGTGAGCATGGCATCATCGTCCCCAGCGAAACTGTTGGCTGGGCTGAACTGGTGCCCCTTTAGAGCTGCAACATCACTGTAGCGTCCTTGCTCCTAGTAGTAAGGCCAACATCACCTTGCCAGTCTTGTCACAAAACTCAGCTTAGTGCTGCACCCTTAAAGTCTTGAGGCCATCGCTCGTAGGTTGGAGGCCATCGGAGTTCTCCAATCTTGGGACTGCTGTCGTTTGGGCTCAATTGCGTTGTGCCTCAAAAGGGCAAAATATTGGATCCTGACATTTCTGACACCTGGCACGCCCTGACAAAATGGCCGGGAGCTGAGTAATGAGAGTAGCCGAAGTTCTGTTTCTCGATGATGATTGAAGCTGCCTGTCCTCCTTTGAAGATTCTACGACACCACAGGATGGGCGAGGCTAGAAGGCCACAAGAGCCTTGCCGTAGCATAATTTTGTTGGATTGAATTCTGAATCAGCTCCTAGACAGTGTATTGTTGCTCTAACAAACAAAAAATAAACAAGAAAGAATAAGGTCCGCATAGAATCCTTGCAGACACTAGCAAGAGATGGCACGGACAAAGACAGTACACCACAAAAGAAAGAAAGAACGACCTTGTCCATTTTCCTATCTTACTTATGTCTTCTCTTTTTGAAGGGAGGAGGGACGCTACTAGGGCTCCTGGCAGGGCTCCTGGCATCGCTCCTGGGAGCAAGGAGGCAAGTTGGAGAAGTCGGCTTTCCGGATGCCTTGCCTGATCTTCCCCTGCTCCAAGGCCTCACCCTTGAGAAGCTTGTCACGTGGCGCCTGGCTTCTCAGAGCCCTTTGAGTTGTGTCATCAGGATGCATAGATGCAACATGATGCAACTTATTAGGCCTCCAACCTACTAGCGATGGCCTCCATGATTCAACTTATGTGAGCTCATTTGCCTTGTGGTGGAAATCCATGGGGCCTTTGCCTGATCCTTGCTCTGCTGCTTCGTCTACAGCAGGGTTTGCGACAATTTCTTCCAGATTCAGAATGCTCAATGCCAATCACCAAAGCAAAAGTGAACAGAGCAAGTCCAGTGAATCAGTGTTCCAACTCCACCCAAGACCCACTGGTGCATTTGGTGCATCTGAGTTGTAGAAGTACAGTAGTTGCAGCAGCAATATGTTTGCCAGTGGCTTGAAGGGGGTTTGCAAAGAAGAAAAGAGCCCTCCAGAAGAGTTACTTAGCTACATCTTTCTAGAAGCAGAACGGCTTATCAATTATTTATTGTTTTCCATGCTTGCTTTGAAGGTTTTAACCTTGACTATGAAAGAATGTCTCAACAAAAACACTGTATTTAATCCTTTCTGTGGGAACAAGGCCTTGTGTTTGTGCTTCTGTTTTTTCAAAAGGTCTAAGAAATCTGTTTCTTCTTGTGTGTTCTTCAGAAATCTGCAAGGCAAGCGCTGCTGGTGTGTCGCTGGGGGGCTGCTGTGACACCTCGGAGCGCTCAGGGCGCTCGGGTTCCCGAGAGCGGGGGATCTGTGGATTCGGCCCAACACTCGAGATCTGGAAAGAAGAAAAGAGAAGCGTCCTTGCTCCTAATAGTAAGGCCAGGAGCCCCTAGTAGCTTCTTGCTACTAGTAGCGATGCCCTTTGCTCCTAGTAGCGCCCTTGCTCCTAGTAGCAATGCCAGGAGCCCCTAGAAGCGATGCCCTTGCTCCTAGTAGCGTCCAAAGAAGAAAAGAGAAGCGTCCTTGCTCCTAATAGCGATGCCAGGAACCCCTAGTAGCGATGCCACGAGCTCCTAGTAGCGTTTAACAAGTCTGTTGTTTTCCACCAAAATGCAATAAACAAGTAAAAAGCAGGAAGTAAGTTGGAAGCAAGTGTCTTGCTGATCTTCTTGAGACCGCCATATTTTTTGCGGTGCATAATCTTGAGAGCATCCGCCATCTCCAAAGACTTGCACTTGCACCTGGAGATCCTGGCAGAAAATCCTGGACTCTTAACTTGGACTTTAAAGCCTGCCATCCGTCAGTCGAATTGTTCAAAGTTGAGCTGGA